TGTTTTAGCCTGTTGGTGGGGGGATTTTTGTTTTTTTCAGCTTGTTTTTTTTCCCCATTTGAAATTGGAGTGAAGAAAATAAAGCTGCTCCAGCTGATGCTGCTCCAGACCAGAGCCAGAGGAGCCATCTCACTTCAGTGGTGTGACCAAAAAAATCCATGGATTGGTGGCTTCTATTTTAGGGATTGTAATATCAGACCTGTCCTGCTTATGCCTGGGCAAGCTAATGCTGCTACACGGCACTGTTTTAGGTGGCTGTGTCAGATGGGGTGCTCTGCTGCGTGGGCAGCAATGTTGGTTTAGGTCCACATTGAATCCCATCAGCCCTGACATTTCTTGTGCTTCCTTCCAGGCTCAATCGCTGTGTAGCCATAGTGAAGCTGCTAAATGCCATCTGTATGAATATGACGGGGACATTTGAGTAAAAAGCTGTATCCAGTCTCCCTGTCAGAGATTCCTGAGTGAAAAAACACTATTAATTCACTAGTTAGAGTTCAGGGCAAAGGTTTAGATCACTTCTGGTTTTATTCTAACTTGATTGCTCACCCGTAGTAACTAGCCTGTCTGAGAACAAGAGTGTATGCAAATTCCCCGGGCTATTATTCTGTATTAAAAAAGGAAAAAAAAAAAAGGCTGTGGTATGACTTTAGACTTAATCATCATTTATCCTACCCTGAAGGCATGGAAGTTAATGATGATATAGATCTGTGCGGTTTTGTGTTCCCCTTGACTGAGCATTAGAAATAATTAGGGCTTGTGGGATGGATGCACTGATGGTGGAGATGAGCAGAAAACATTTTTGAATGTGTGCATGTGCCTCTTCTAAGTTTGCTGGCAAAGATACAGGTGCTTAGAGTGTGCTTATGAGCTCTGAGGTGTCTTGCTTGTTCATTGAGACGTAGCTAGCTGGTGCTGAGGAGAAAGGAAGTGGGAATAAATGAGTTTTATTATTTTGGAGGCTTTTAAGGTTATGGGCCAAGCATATTGGCTAGTGATTTCTGGAGAGATTTCTTCAGTGGGGTAAGCTTTCCTGCATCCCAAGGGCTGCTGAGTGCAGCTCTGGGTTATGCCCATGGAGTACGTACAGCATCGGTACTGGTCCAGAAGTCCCAAGCTATACAGGAGCTGGTGCTAGGCCTCCTGAAGTATGGAAGACTTGAGCACCATAGTTGAAGGTTTTCCTGGATTATCTCCTTCAGTGACCTGAGCATTTGGGTTAGTTGGTTATTAGACAGCCATGGCCAAATGCACGCTGATGGTTGTCACAGGTTGGATAGGGAGGAACTGGTTTTGCTGCTCTGGAGAAGACCTCTGGTCTCTGTCTTGCTGTGGGTTGAACCAGAGACAGTTTCAGGGTTTTTTTTATTCAGGTGCAAAAGAGCTTCTTCTCTTCCCAAGTAGCCACACGGTGAGTTATGGAATCATCTGTTTGGGATGGCGGCAGCCCTTCTTAAAAGTCTCTGCTAAAACGGTTTCCTCTGTGTTGCAAGTACGTAGTTTGCCTGCTGTTTGCCCACTGTTTCTTTCCCAACGTGGCCGATCTGCAGTTTTTTTGATGAAAGCCATTTCAGCGAAAATTATGTTCTTACTAGGCTGGAAGGTGGTGGGAATAGAGGTGGTGCTGAGCCTGCATGGACTTGTGTAGTGGGACTATGTGCTGGTGGTCTCTGCAGCAGTGTGGGATGAGAAGGCTGCCTGAGAGGGCGTCCTGAAAGCGTTGGTAGCACTGTCACCCTGTGTGGGGAGCTCCTGCAGCTGGGCCATTGGAGGAGCAGCTGGGCTGCATGGTCAATGTGGACAGTCCCTTGGGGAAGGGATGCTGGGGCTCTGGTCTGGGTTTGGGTCCAGCAAAACGTTTGGGTCCTTGCAGGCAATTTAGAATCACTACTGGCTAAATATATTCCTCGGAGCAGATCAATGCAGTGTGGTATTTTAGAAGGTACACTGTGAAAGCAGTCCCAGGCAGAAGCCCACGGGGCAGCTGGAGAGTCTGCCATGCATAGCAGTCCTTCAGAGCTGTCTGAGCTGTTCTGGAAGCCTCTCTGGTCTCTAGAGCAGCCCAGACACAGGGGGAGCTTTAAATCACTTGTGTCTTTTGTCTTTCTGGCGTGTGAGTTTTGGGTTACTGCGCAGCACCTGTCAAAAGGTGTATCCCGTCCTCTCCGATTTATTTTGCTATATGCAGAATTCTACTAAAATAAGAGAGGAATTGAGTCTTTTCTAACTGGAGATTTAGTATTCAGCTCTGCTGGCTGACTCACCGGTAGGAAAATTCCCACTGACTTGAGTTAGAGTTGAATGGGTTGTATTATCTTTTCATATGCAGAAAATTATTTTGAAATTGAAGTTAATAACAGCAATTTAAAAATTGTCATTGATAGAAAGATAATACAATATTTAGCTGTATCATGTTCTTCTTACGATCTGATGTTTGAATAAAAGCACTTTTTCTGCTTTTTTTCCTTAATTAGCATGTCATGAAGAAGTTTGTGACATCAAACACACTATCTAATTACATTCATTAGTAGCATCTCCAGGACAAGTTTTAATTAAGTTGTACAATGTAGATCAATACTTGTTTTGCACCTATTGCAACTTAAGACAGGAATATATTATTCTGCACAGTTTAATTACAGTGACTGTAATAGAAGGAATTTGGGTAAACCTGCCATTTTGGCAACTGCACTCCCTTCTCTTGCTTTTTAAAATAGTGTACAGTTATAATAGATGACGTGTTATTTATGTGTGTCCTATTTTGAAGGATATTTTAAGATCGCCCTTTTTATCCCATTAAAAAGAAAATGCAGCGTGGTTCAGGAGCGCTTGGGTACTGGTGCTTGACGTCAGCTGGAGCCAAAGACCTTAATGAGCATTTTACCTGCAGACTTCAGGAGGGGAAAAGCTGGCCATCATTGGGTGGCATATCTAACGGTAGATGATAGCAATACTTTTATTTTGCTTAGGCTGTGGGGTGGAAAGCCACCTAATTGTATGTTTACTTACTGTGGATGTAGTTCAGTGTAGTCTCTGAGTATTGCTTCCACCAAATGTCCTGTAGTTTGGTAGCATTGCCAGCTCCCAACTGTTTTCTGTTTTGGCAGGAAAAAGCAATCTGGGCATGAAAACCCTGAGCTACCAAATGTTTTTGCTCAGCATCGCAAAAATATACTTGACCAGGCAGAACATCTATATGCCTTATGATAGTGTGCTGCATTAATAGTTGCATACATTTTGAAAATATCTGGATAGACAAATCTTTTTTTAAGATAAGTGTTTGATGCCAGAGCTGAGAACTGATTTTTTTCTACCTCAACGTTGTATATTTGTGTTTTGGGCTGCTTTTGTGTACAAGGGACTACAGTTGTCAGGGTTTAATACAGTACAATGATTAAGACTAAACCAACTCAGAGAACTTTGTTTTTTCAAACTAAATCTGTTGTTTAATCTTTTTTTTTTTTTTTTTTTAAAAAGGAGCATGCCTTTTAGTATAGTGTACTTCTGGGTTTTCTTACTACGCCTCTGTAGATAGTGTAATCCTGATATCCGAGGTACTCAGTTGGCAGCATTTGTAATTTTGTCCGCGGTGCCCTGCAGCGGGGTGACCTGGGCTGGTGTAAGGAGGGGGCTGTATGCCTCGTAGGCATTTGCGCTGGTATATTTGGCTGTGCAGAGGCAGCAAATCAGCCTGATATGAGTAGTAGGGGTGAGAGTTATGATACTCGCATCCTTTATATCTGTGCATGCAAATGGTTTGTTTCTCTTCTCTGGCAATATTGAAGTGCCTGCAGAGTTGGTATTAAAGGCGTGAGCGCAAAGCTGCGTCCACCCGTTTCAAACTGGTTCTTGGGCTGGATAGGTCATCACGGGCTGGAAAGTCTTGAAAGTCCAATTGTGAAAACTTCCAGTGGGATTTTTGAAGAGGACATAGGGTGGAGATCAGGACTTGAAGACCCAGGGAAATCGCTTCCTTTTTAGGAGGGGACGTGAGTGCAAAAAGTGAGGTATTAAGCAGACAAATATCCTATTAGAAGCGAGTGTTGTAATCCAAACAGAAGGAAGTTGTGTGCTTCTAAAGTAGAAGAAAGTTCCTCCTAGGCTGAAATTTTTGGATGACAGCTGTTGATTCAGAGACAAGCTTTTAACTTGGAGATTTAATGCCCTGGGTACAGGAGGTGAAAGCTCAGCCCCAGAAGCTGGTATTGTTTTCCTTAGCTGAGTTAAGCGTGTGTAGATTTAATTACGTCATGCTTTTTGCTCAGTGTTTCAGGTAATATGAGGTGAAAAAATGTTACAAGCTTGGGAATGTTTTTTTTTTGCTCTTTAATGTGAATTGTTCATGGCTTATGTGACTTAACAAACTACTCCAATTTTTAGGGGGGGGCGGGGGGGGGGGAGATCCCTGGGATACCTTACAATGAAGTTGCCAAAGACTTGGAGAAAAATGTGGGAGAGGAAGAAAAGAACAGATTCCTGTTAGCAGTAATACTTGAACATAAGACAGTTTAAAAACTGAATTCATGGTAATCGGGAAACGCTGCCTGTTGCTGCTGCTTTCATTTTTGTCTTAAAGGCCTGATTATGGTAAAAACATAAGCCACCTTAGAAGAAATGCGTATATAAACACACATAGATGTTTGTGAGTGTATGTATGTCTTGCATATACACATAAACGCACAGTGTGCATTATGTATTTATTCCCCCCAAAAGACCAGATCCTAAGAACGTGAAGGATCTAGAACTTATAGAAGGTTAGTGCATTTGCAGCTTGATTTCAGTGGCAGATCTCAAAGGAATAAAGTGATGCGTATATAGAATTATTTTCAGCGTATGACCTCATTGTTAGAGAAGTTATTGCATTGTTATTCTGCTTTAAAAATCCAACTTCCTTGGCTAATTGTAAACAGCCTGTTTACCATAGCCACACAAACCTTGAAATATTTACTGATGTTTGTAATCCATCCATCTTCCTTAACAGTTTTTTCTCTTATTTTCAGTGAATTTACTGGACTCACGCACAGTAATGGGGGATCTAGGATGGATAGCCTACCCAAAAAATGGGGTAAGTCTCTGTTGTTGTTTGCTTTCTCACAAATTATACTAACTGTTTCCATTCGGAAAGTAGACTACTGGGTTTAAAAACTCCCTGGAGTGATTTGTCGGCAATGGAGGGAAAAAAATAAATAAAACAACAAGCTGTGACTGGAAAAATGGAGCTGTGTGGCTAGGGGATTGATTTATTTATGCAGTACAGCCAGCCACAAGCATTAAAAAAAAAAAAAAAAAGAAATCATGAGTCAGCCCCCTCATTCCTCCCCTCACCAAAAAAATCCATGGGGTTATTTAAATTTTTTTTTAATTATGAATTCCTGTTCTTCTCCTGAGCCTTTGGGGTAAACGTGCAACACAATCTTGAATTTTTCTTCTGAAAAGGAGGGTCTTCGGCATTACTGTTAGCTTTAAATGAACAGGGCTGTTCAGATATCATGAGCTATCAGGCTCATGATAAAATTCTGGAAGCTGATAACACTGGAGCAGGAGCTGAGTTTTAAGCACTGTGAGGAGCCTCTGTCCCTTACCATTAACTATACTGAGAACTGGAAGAACCTGGCCTCCTAATTTGATACCTGCAATAAGTGCTGGAGCTTTGATGCCTTAATACCCTGCAGTGTGTGTGCTTGGCCTGACTGCATTGTGCGAGCAGTCATTGCTGTGACTTTTGGTCTTTGGTTTGGCTGGGGCATCCTCAGTGCTGTACTGTAACACAGCTTTGGTACCATCTTAAAAGGTTGGCTTCTGCATGGCGCTGAGTACTCCTCTCGGTTCCCAGGAGCCATGAGCACTGTGTGAGGTGAGAAAGCATCCCACGGTAGAAATGCTGCACGACTGAGCCCTCCAACAGAGCAGCCCTCAGGAATGTGTTATTCCAGAGTTGGTCACCAGCTGAAACGGGCTGCAGAATTGTCTTGGACTCCAGTTTGATTGCCATAAAAATGGTAGCATTGTTTATGTAAAATGCAGCCAACCCTGCACATGTGTATTACACAGCGAATTAAAATCTGGCTTTCCATATATTCTGAGTAGATGAAAGGTTGTAGAAATGGCAGCCTCACTCAGACGAGCTGCATGCTTGCAGGCATGGGTTATGGCAGGGATGTAAAAACTACATGGGGAGCTGATTTTATCCTCAGCTCAGTTCAAGATCTAATCCTGTTGCTGTTGGAGTCTATAACAATATTTTTTCTTTATTGATTTAAAGCCGAGAGCTAAACTTGCTCCGCTTGTGCGTGTGGGCATCAGAATAACCAGTGCCAGACATGCTGGCAGAGCAGTATGTTGGTGTCATGGCACACCATAAAGATCTCAGTGTCCACTTCTTAATGGAAGATTTTTCCTTTTTGAACACCTCTACGTATTCTTCCTATGGTAAAAAGCACAGTTGCTGTAAATTCCAATGTCCTTACAGGAATATCAGTAGAGAAATAACTAGGTCTGAAGAGCTGAGGAGATTCCTGGGTCTGTATGTGTAGACGAGTTAATGAAAAGCTAAATATACTATGCATACGCCTCAGTTGTGGGCTTTTTTCATTATTTAGAGAAACCTTTCTGTATTTACAAGCTCAGTTTCCAAACAGCACCTGGAAGTGCACTCATGAATGCCAAATTAATGGTTACTGACTCTAAAGGGAGGATTTTTTTCCTTAAATTAACTTCCACAAGTAAAAAGTGAATCAGGCAGTTGCTTTTTGAATTTCCAGAAATCTCCTCTTAATCTTCTTTGTTTTCATGGGACAGCATAAAAATTCATGAGGTTAGCCCAAATGTTTCTTACCTAATATATTTGCAGTATTTTACAAGTACGGAAAAAAGTCTTTCCAGACTCACTTCTCTAAACCCCCTTAACTGCTTTACAATCAGCTATGCTGCAGTCATACTCTGTTTGCTTAATTTTTTTTAAAGATCTACCTTGTATAAATATTTTAAGTAACTCTCACTTTAGCATTTGAATTTGGAAAAGGAGGGAGACTATGCAAGCTGTTCTTTTTTGAGGTATTCTCATACAAATTTTTTATCTCAGGATGTCCTCTTAGGGAAAATTTTGGAAGGTATGTGTATCTGTCTGCACAGTTCCCCATCAAGGAAAGAAGCAGAAATGTCATAATGTGTACATACTGTAGTGTGGCAAAGTGTGAGATACAGACCATGTGCTGAAGTAGGCTTTTTGATGCATGGGATTTTATTATTGCTATTAACAGTATCCTGTAGAGTCTAGTCACTTACCAGGTACTTGGTAGCAATTTCAATGGTCATAGAGTTCCAACTGAAGATACATTAGCTTTTGAAGCAGCCTTCAACTCTTCTAATGTTGCTGCTTCTCCGCTTGATTTTTATTTGAATCTTAAGGAAACTTAGTATTTTTCCTAGAACCACATCTTCTAGAAGTAGGAGATTGCACCAGGACCACAGCAACTGTTAAAGAAAGCAAGTGTTTAGTCTTTGTAATTGTATGGGAGTGCCTGGGAGAAGTTATCTGTGTATCACAAAGGCTCAAGCTGGTAAGTTTTGAAAACAGATTTCTACATTTATTTAAAAAACAAAACAAAAAAACCCCGATACCAAACCAAACCAACAACCTCCCCCTAAAAAACCCCACCAAACAACCCCCCAGAAGCTCCACCCCCAGAAGCTCCACAATGGGGGTAAGAGGTCCAGTCAAGCCAAATGAGCTTGCTTTTGCCAGATCTGTTGTAGGTGTCATACTCTAAATTTTTACTATAGCTATGTGCCATGGTGGTTTTTGTGTATTAAAGCTTTAAGACATTCCATGCTCCAAGGAGGTCCAGCTGCCTTCACTTAGCCTGTTCCTCACCGCATTTTTGCTGAACACAATGCGAAATTGTGGTCTAACTTGGGAAATGGAAGCAGCGGTGTATGGGAAAGAGACTGACCCTCCAGTCTGGAGACAGATTAGGATTAGAGGTAGACTTTTTTTATGGCTGTAATTCCAAATAAAGCATTGCAGCTGCTTTAATCCCCACAAGATCAGACTTTGGTCCACTGCTAAACAGTGCGCACCAGCTCATCTAGTGAGTAATGGATTTTAGAGGAAAGGAGAGGAGCACTTTAGCCAAGGGTTGCCTCTGCAGAGCTTTGTTTAGCTAGGTGCTTGTTTGGTACAGGTTTGGGTAGCGTCCAGTATCCTTGCAGCCTGGCTGGCCTTCATTTCCACCATGCAGATAGAAGGTAGGAAAAGTCCCCCTCTTCACAGAATGACAGAATGGTAGGGGTTGGAAGGGACCTTTGGAGATCATCTAGTCCAACCCCGCTGCTAAAGCAGGTTCATCTAGAGCAGGTTGGACAGGAAGGTATCCAAAAGGCTTTTGAACATCTCCAGAGGAGACTCCACGTCTCTGGGCAGCCTGTTCCAGTGCTCTGTCACCGTCCAAGTAAAGAAGTTTTTCCTCATGTTGAGGTGGAATTTCCTGTGTTCCAGTTTGTGCCCATTGCCCCTTGTCCTGTCGCTGGACACCCCTGAAAAGAGTCTGGCCTCATCCTCTTGACACTTGCCCTTGAGGTATTTATAAGCATTGATAAGATCCCCTCTGAGTCCTCTCTTCTCCAGGCTAAACAGACCCAGGTCTCTCAGCCTTTCCTCATGAGGGAGGTACTCCAGTCCATCATATGGAGTATTGAGGGACCAGTGGAAATGAAATAACGTGACTGAAATATGCTGTGGTCATGCAGGGGCCATGGAAATGCCGCCCCTTTCACAGCTCAAGTCAGGAATTGATCCTGTTATTACATGCCAAAGGGACAATTTGGACTTTGCTTTGCAGCTAATGTAAGTTTACTCTAAGGTGAAGGAGGTTGTTGGAATTACCAGAGGCTGTATCAGGAAAGTCTGGTCCCTCTTGTGTAGTAGGAAGCCCTCCAAGCGCATTGACAAAATGAGTCATTTTTTTTTATTAAAGCCTGTGCTTGTACAGCAGGTCTGTAAGGCCTGCGAGTCTCTCTTACCTCCGGACTTCTTCCTGGAGTGCTGCTTAGGATTACCCAAACTGGGCACACCGGAGGTTTACGTGTGTGTTATATATGGCTGTGGCACCAACTAGTTCTGACCTACAGAAACTGTTTGCACTTGCCTGTGCTAAACATCCATTTTTATCATGTGGAAGCTCACAGAAATAGGAACAATGGTAAGTGCTGTGAGAGAAATAGCTGGGTCAGGCAGTGTTTGTAGGCTGTATTGCCTCCTCTTTTCCCTTGATTTGGCAGGAGACTGTGTGTGATGCATTTCGACTCCCTGCAAAGCCATAGCAGGAGGAGAAGCTACAAAGAGCCCCCTGTAAACCTGTACTGTTCAGTCTTATTTGATCTGGCCAAGTAAAAACACAGCCACTTTTAACAATATCCAGATAATTGCAGAAGTTACTGATTAAAATAAATGCTTTCTTTTAGCTGGCTTGATTTATTCAGCGATTATATCTGATTTTTGTTTCAGTGGCTATAATAGCGCTGATTTACTTGTTTCAGACCCTCCCTCCTTTCAGGGTTTATTTTAAAATTTATTTCTTTGCAGGTTTGAAGCACTCTTTTTCTGTCCAGATTGGAGCGCCGAAGACCTGCTTTGCTGTTGTGTAACGGGTCCTCTCCCATCTCCTCCACCTCCCATTGATTTCCCTGACCTTCCTGTAGCACAGAGCAGGAAAGCCTCTGTGGTCCTTGGGGTATTGGCTGTGTGCTGTGGCTCATTGCACAGCTCCATGTGCTGGGATTCTTTTTTAGGCTTAGACAGGAAAATAAACATGTACTAAGGAACCTGGTCCTGGGGAGGTGTTCATAATTCTTTATTCATTGGAGAAAATGAGAGCGTGAGATGACTTGTTGTGTGTGAATGGCAAGAGGGAAAGCAATTGCCCCTGCTTTTGGTGCTTAGTAAGGCCAAATACAAAAAGTTGGGGGGTAAATTCAACCAGATTGATTCTGCAAGTTGCTTCTCATTTATGTAGGACATTGGTGCATTTGATTTATTTTTTTTTTAAATTTTTTTTTTGTGAGCAG